TATTGTGACACCAGATGTAATTGTTGGCACTGACTGGGGAAATGGGCACAGTATGCACTGTGAGCCTGACACAGAAGCTGGCAGTAGTGGCAGACAACTGACTGCTATTCAATCTATAACAGTGAAAAAAGTTTTTTGTTTTTAAATCCAAGCTATTGTGACACCAGATGTAATTGGTGGCACTGACTGGGGAAATGGGCACTGTGAGCCTGACACAGAAGCTGGCAGCAGTGGCAGACAACTAAGTGCATTTACATTACATAGAAAAAAAAAATCCAAAAAAAGCATACCCTTATCCCTAACCTAGCTATGCTTTTCCCTATCTTATGAACAGCAGCTACACTTTCCCTCCTCTTACTAAGCATGCAGCTTGAGAATGAATCTAAAATGGATGCTGTCCAGTAGGTGGGAGGGTCTGCTAGGGAGGCTGTGCTGCTAATTGGCTGGAATGTGTCTGCTGACTGTGAGGTACAGGGTCAAAGTTTACTCAATGATGACGAATAGGGGGCGGGTCGAACCGCGCATATGTTCGCACGCCGTGGCGAACGCGAACATGCTATGTTCGCCAGGAACCGTTCGCCGGCGAACCGTTCGGTACATCACTACTGTTGGTTATCCTCCTGGCAAGTTGTGCATTTGGACTCTTTTTTTCTTCTTCTTTTTTTTCTGCTATTGATTGTGATCTGTTACCATCATCATTGTTATTGGACTCTTTCATATATTTTTGATATTTTATAATTTTCATATTACTTTCATTATCTTTCTATATAGTTTGCTATTTGGCACAAACTTTTTTCCATTTATCTTGTCTATTTACATCAGCAGCGCCTGTGGACACATAATTCTCTAATGCCCCCTAACCCCTTAATTTTCAAACTCATTTTTAAAAATTGACTGTTTAAATATGATAATTGTTGTATGTAAGCACATATATAAAGTAAGTGTGTGTAGTGTGTGTGCATGTGTAGCAGTGTGTAAAATGTCTGAGTGCATCTCTGTGTGTGAATGTA